TTGACCGGTCGGCAGGGGATGCTCACTCCTCCATGGCACCTGATCCCACCTCTGATGTTTCGGAGGTCCGTGTTTGCTCTGCTCTTATTTTGTATATTGTTTAATGGACGTTGAGATTGAATACTGTTCGTTATTTCCTTATCCTTCCCTTACCTAGAGCTTTTAAACTTGGCAAAATTATACATCTTAGGTAGAAGTTGTGTCGTGGCCTATTTCAAGGTCACTGTGACCTTAAATATAAGTGAATTTTTAAAAAAAAACTAAGTCTTTAAAATTTTAAATTTCATAATCCTAAAAAATGTAAAAATATAGTTGTATCCTTATTTAAAATGTTAAAGCAAGTAAAAACTTATTTTTTCATCATATACTTTACAGCAATCTGTAACAAATGTTAATGTTTTGAGAGGAATTCAGTTTGTCCCTTGGGCATAATTATCAAGCACTGGTCAAGAAGAATTTGATAGCAGAAATTCGCATGTCAAACTAGAGAGAAATTAATGAGTTTATTGTCAGGAGCTAACTGGTAGAGATCTCTGATAATGCAGCTGTTATCTTTATCTTTAATCAAAAAGAAATGGCCTCATAGTTGCTTGTGTTAATTAAGAGTTCTTGATGGCTAGTTCAGAAAAAGATCTTTCAATTGGTATAATGTAATTAAAACAAATTGATGCTTTAAAATACAGTTTATGATAAAAACTAATTTACTATTGTATAATATAATTAAAACTAATCCTTATGAAAAATGTTTAATTAAATAAAAACTTTTTTTTCATCATTATAATATACTTTAACAGCAAGCTGTAACAAATGCTAATGTTTTGAGAGAAAATTCAGTTTGTCCCATGGGCATAATTATCAAGCACTGGTCAAGAAAAATTTTGATAGCAGAAATTGCATGTCAAATTAGAGAGAAATTAATGAGTTTATTGTCAGGAGCTAACTGGTTGTCTAAGAGCATCTCTGATTATTCAGCTGTTATCTTAATTTATCTCTTGGGAGTTGGGCAAAAAGAAAGGCCTCATAGTTGCTTGTGTTAATTTAGAGTTCTTGATGGCTATAGTCCAGATAAAGATCTTCCAATTAGTGTAATGTAATTAAAACAAATTGATGTTTTAATGTATGATTAAAACTAAATTAGTATTGTATAATATAATTAAAACTAATTATGTGTTCATTGAAAAAAAAATTACATTTCAATTTTTATATATTTGCAACAAATTGCAGTCATGTCTCACTTAGAATTTTATAGTCTAAAGAGTAATTTATTTTTGATTTTTTTTTATTAAACTGTAGCATTTCTATTATTCCATAAAATATGCATTTAACAATTTAAAGCTGCAGATGGATATTTGTTAAGTTCTAACACAGCCAGTTTAGAATTATATGATGTATTATTTGTTATAATTAATCCCTACACTGTAAGTCTCTTAGAGGTGTATTTTTTTTAATGTAAATCGCATACAAAATACCATAAAGGTCACATAGCATATTCAAATCAAATGGACAACTGCAAGTGACATCTGGGTTGACAAAAATCCTACTATTTGTTGGTGAAAAGACATTACAAACAATGAAAACTAAGATTTATACCTGATTAGAACTTTAGTTTTACAAGGTCAAACTTCATCCAGCTGTCATAAGAATCCATCATTTCTTTCATGGCCTTCAGGACAGTAATTCCTTTAGACCACATAACGCTTTTCCCTTTCACTCATACTGTCGGGGTAACCCACTCATCTTCTTTCCAGACCGATCTGCACCATATCTTTTCCAATCTGCAAGCAATTAGAGGCCAAATAAGTTTGTATTAACTTCTAAAGCTCATACTATAAGTATTGACTGGAGAGGATTACAAATTATATATGCACATTCAACTAGTTTCCATTACTAGATTAAATCATTTTGAATAAATGATTAGGCTTACATGCAGCTTAATGAAAGTTGTGTTACTGTGTAAGTATAATGATTTCATTTTCAAATCAGTGAATGAGTCAGTATACCTCATGTACATGTACTTACAACTTCTCTCTATTCCATGAAGCATAGAAATAAGGACATGACCTCCTTCACAGGGGAAATATGCAATGTTTTCTCCAAATCAGAATGCTCATCCAGTATTGGATTGTTCTGTAATAAAGGGAACTGGCTGATGTATAGGAGAAATGTTAGTTAGGGATTGGAGAAGGATATGGAGATAACGAACAGTGTTTAATATACACAGACCTCCGGAACATCAGAGGTAGGACCAGGTGCTGACCGGTCACACCCGCCGTGTGCTCATTGTCATGATCGTGAACGAACGGAAAAATCTGTCGTAAATTCAATGTATAAATAATGGTCAATTGGTATGAAAAACGTCAGTCAGCATCTGACTGAATGATAAGTTGTATTTGCTGACAAGGTAATTGTATCGACCATAGAACCTACGAAATGATGACTATAAACGAGACTGCAAATGAGAGTATCCTGTAATAAAGGTAACTGGTTGATGTACAGGAGAGTTGTTCGTGAGAGTGAGGTGTCCGACATTGGAGTGTTTTGTTATGAAGGGAATTAGTTGATATACAGGCGAGCTGTTTGTAAGATCCCAGCTAACACAAAAACATTTTAAAAATGTTTTTAAAACATTTCAAAATGTTGCGAAAACATTTTTAAAAATGTTTTAATCACGTGATTTTGTATGTTTTTTTTAAACGTTTTTAAAACATTTTAGTAAAATATTTCAGTAAAATGATGTCAGAACATTTTCTCAAAATGTTGCAAAAACATTTTCAATAATGTTTTAATCACGTGAATTTGTATGGTTTTTTTAAACGTTTTTAAACATTTAGTGAAATATTTCAACAAATGTTTCCGGAACATTTTATTAAAATGTTACAAACATATTTTTCAAAAATGTTTTAATCACGTGATTTTGTATGGTTTTTAAAATGTTAAAAAACATTTTACAAAATATTTCAACAAATGTTATCATAACACAGACCTGCCCACCCTTCCGCTTTTGGCGTAATTCTTCCGCTTTTTACCACTTAATTACGCCATTACACCACTTATATGAATTTTACGCTTTTTTATATTTTGGTTTAAAATTCATTATGAACGTCTAATTTTAGAGTCAAAGTACGGCCTGCTGTAATGAAAATAGAAGTTTTAGTAAAACTAATAACATACGCAATATACCTAGTAGTTATATGTGTACTGGTATGGCGAAGATTTGGAAAAACACGAGAACGCACTATACTTACGGCACTACTTACGTTAACTATTAAATGATGTATTAAGTACAGCTCTTTCTATGTTCAATTTAGTACACCGTAACATTGCTTAGAACAAGATAGAAAATGCCAGTGTGAAAAAGATGAAATACAGTGTTATTATGTACGATTTGTGTAAATATGCAAACGCAAGGCTTTAATTAAGTGATTTGATAAAAATTGACCCAATGCTTCATCAAGGGTGTGCGGTTGGTTTGAGTTTAATATAAGATACTGGTATTTAACACTTTTTTGCCAATAGAGGATTCGAAAAAGAAAAGTTTGTGCAAGCTTTGTCTAGTAATGTACAATTTCGGTTTTTATGAAAAAATAGAGTATTGTAGTAAAACAACAAAATAGGAAAACATGATTGATTACGCTTTTACCTCCGAAATTCCGCCAAAAATGTACTGAAATTACACCCTTGCAATGAAAAGGGTAGGCAGGTCTGATAACATTGTTTTTAAATGTAACAAAAACATTTTCAAAATGTCTTATTCACGTTTAATTTGCTTGGTTTTTAAAACGTTTTCAAAACATTCAACTCGAGGTTACAAAAGTATTTCCTGAATTTTTACTTTTTCTCATAAAATAATGATATATTCATATTTTAAAAGAAAAAAAAACACAAATTATATAAATTATTTGATTTTTGAACCTTAATGTTAATCACATTTAAATTCCATTCTCGGTACAAGTTTAAATTTATTTTCTTTCAAGTCACCGGGTTTTTAACGACGTTCGATCCTGATATTTAAAGACTTAAACTTTTTTTGCCAAGTATATTTTTAGTTTCTACATACATAGCTTAATTAAAATTCAAATCAAAAAATGGGGGTCAATGTGCTTCTTTTAGCGCTACAGTACATTTAATATGACCTTTCTGCACTGAAATTTGTGTCTTAATTAAAAATTACATCTGCGACGTTTTCCCTCCAATATTTTTATCCAATTAAAGAATGAAACAAAATGAACTCTAAGTCTGTTTAAAAAAAGACACTTAGAAATTGTGATTAAGAAAAAGTTTCAAATTGCTTCGCATAATCAATTATTTGACCTTTCTGCACTAATAAAATGTTATTTTTCCGGCATTGAAAATATAATAAGAAAATTATTTTAAAGTCTTTAACTTTTTCTGATTTAAAGCAAATAGGTCAAAGTTATCTTGAATATTTAGAAAAGAACATCAAAAGTGGGGGTATATAATGTACATTTTCAGATATTACTAAAAGAGTGTGAATTTTACGTTAAAATTGGCTCAATTTTTTCCAGAATTTTCAGAATATATTTACTGTATTTGTTACACTTTGCTGATAGAATTCATAAGAAATAATTTAATAGATATTTTAGAACCAGCATCACATATTCCATTGCAAAAAACAGCTTTGTGTGCAACCAGCATGGAAAAATAGGCATCCAAAATTAACAGGACTGTTATAGTTCAAATGGAAAAAAACTGACCATTTTCGTCTAAAAAACCTTCCACCACAAAATATAGTCCCTAGCTTAATTCTACTTGAATGGACTTTAATCGCGGTTTTTTAATTGAATATAGTTTAATTTGCATTGTAGAATTCGGTTTTATTGTTAGAACCTAAAAATGATGCTTAATTTTATGAATAAAGGACCTGCGCGAAATACGCCCAAAATATCAGGATCGAACGTCCTTAAAGGTTGAAAACGGCGTCTAATCCAATCACTGAATTTTTGAAAGAACAGAATCACAGAAATCCTATGTTCACTGTATAGGTAGAAAAGAGCGGCGGATCTATAAGACTTAGTTAGAATCACATACACTGAAAAGGCTGATAAGGAGTCTGCCCCTCGGAAAGAAAAGCACAATCTGTAAAGATAAGGAAAATTGTGTTTGTATCAACAGCGTTGTACATGAAATGTATCTTAAAATGATCACTGAAAATATACAAAAAATATTTTAAATAATTATATCAAATTTAAGTTCTTTCCTCATTTGCATTGAAAAAAGCAAAAAAATAATTACTATGACAATATTATTGAAGAGTAATAGTATTTACGTACACCTTTGCCTTCACCAAAGGCGGGTCTTTTGAATGTGGGAATTTGAAAATACGGATGATGCAACCAACACCATGCTGTAAAGAAATTTCATTTTTAAATCAACATATTGTTTGATGATTAACATTTCACAAAGACAACGAATACTTGAATCAAGGATATAATTGTGTTGCCTTAAGAATGAAATATTCAAATCCAATACATGTATATAACATTAACGCTTTGTCATTGCTACATACATTTTTACAAAGTTATTGATCATGCACTGGTAGTATAAAAGCAATTTTTAAATGATCTTTTAAAGTCTATGATAAAGGAATAATTTTTACCATTCAGAGTTAATAAATCCCGAGGTTTTTATTGTGGTTTATATGGTGCAAAGTCTTCTCATTCAAATCGGCACGGAGTAAGCGCGCACATCTTGTTTACCAGAATTCAAAATTTGGCCTAGATAAGCAGCAAACCACTACGCGCTGCCCAGCAGGAGACTTGCATAATAGGCTATCCTGACACTGACACGTATGCCAATCCCTATCTAATGCCTCAGAGTAAAGTTCTGGGAGTGGCTCACAGATTTGATGAAGAACATTTTTTAAAAAGACATAAATGGCCGGTTGCGTATCTCAGATTTAAACCTACGATCAATGATTCCGGGTTTAAATCCAAGTTTTCGCGTTGCACACATGTAAGGATTGGCTGAGTACGAATCAGAATTACGGTAAATTCTGAACCTGGTGTAGGGGTGGTTTAAACCCAGCTTAATAACATTTCCATGGACTTTTGGGTAGAATATTTCAATATTTTGAAATATTTTGATGTTGCAGAAATGTTTTTTGGCAATTATGATTGGATTGATATATTTTGCAGTTTCAAAAAAACTTTTCTACAAAATAATTTTTTGGCCATGTTGCATGGGGATTTTTCGTTTTGCACACCTCTTTAACAACATTTCAATGTGCCGTTTTAACACTGATGTAGCTGTAGTATAAAGTTTTGGAAGATAATTTTAAAATACATAAATGTTCATGAACAGGAGGAATTATATAGAAACTTTCTAATATACATGTACCAAATTAAATCAAATTACGAATTTTACACTTTCGAAAAGCTGATGATACACATTCCAATAATTTCTAATAATGCCGAATTTTATGAGGATAAAAGTCTTTCAGTTATCAGTGAATCAGGCTATCTACAGCTTGGGCCGAATGGGAGGAACCGGGCAAGGGGGAGGAGGGTATGTTCGTCCCCTATTTATTGTCGCTGTATAAAATTCTATAGAAAACATATAGATAATAATAAGTGTTTTCTCAAAAATGTCTTATAAGGTTTTTTTTATTTAAATTTAAACTAAAAATCTAAATTTATACATTTTCCCTTTATCATTTACCTATATACATGTATTGTGTTTTGATTTTGTTTCTAAATTACTTATTCCAAAGACCCCATTCATGTTTTCTTCTCTTCAGTCTTTTGCAAAAGCTGTATTCTGTTTGCGTTTTTATATTTTCTTATGGTTTGGGTTTCGATGAAAGATGCCGTGATTTGAATTAAATCATGTAAATTGTATTGAATTTTTTTCAGCATTAACAATTTACAATTTAAAATCAATATATATCATTGTTTTTAAATATATCCTTTTAATTTTCAACCAGTTACTAGTATTAAAACTTGTTTTAAAGTGCTGTAATATTAGGAAACCTATTATTCTTCAACATTTTATACGAGTAAGTCAGGATTAGGTAAACCTTACTCAGTTTTATAGCGTGCAACAGAAATGCGACTCAGGTAAACCCGACTCAACTGGGGTTTAAACCCGGCTTACGTGATTCACGGATCGACCATTGAGCTGTACTTATCTGAACCAAAGGTACGCAACCGGCCATAAGAGTTTTATTTAATGCTTATAATTTTATACATTTATTTATATTTTTAATTTTTTTGTTTGCCTATCCTTTAATTTATTGATTTTTTGATTTGTTTAATCAAAGGACTTTATATAAATTATGTCTGTTTAATCAATAAGCCAAAACTAGAAATCATTATAAAATACCGAAAAAATATTTCAATTAAAAAATTACTACAATTCCTCATTTTAACACTATTCTTTCTATATATTCTTTTTTTCTTCATAAACTAAATTTTAGGAAAATCGCAATCATACATTATTTGAATGTTTTAAAAACATTTTGAAAATAACAGCAGCAATAAAAAATAGTCTTTAAAAAAAAAAAAGAAAACACATTAAATTGAATACTGTAAACCAACTTTTATTCGCGGCGACTTTTTTTCGCGATTCACCGGGGGTAAACTTGTTCGCGACGATTAATTTTCGCGATCGTTTAGATTCTATGTCTCAAACCTTATATATGAGACGAAAATAAACATGTCCATTAAAATAAAAAATAAAACCTGTAAAATGCTAAACTATGAACAACTAGAGCCGAGCTCGTTGTAAAGCAACGAGTAGGTCTTCCGTTGGAGCTGTGGACAGGAAGTACCGACCTTGTGTCAAGGTTACTGCATTTTCTAATGTGAACAACCTTTCTTCTCAGCATGAGCCTCCAGTGAATCTTAATTGCAAAGTTATGCTTAAACATTTTTTTCTCTGTCAGTGACCTTGATTTGACAGAAAGACCTATGATCAGGGTCATGACACAACCTCCAATCATAAGTAATCTATGTTTCAAGTAAGAGCCTCCAATGATTTTCACTTGACTTACTAGTTCATAGCGTGAAAAAGAAAAGATTTCTTCTGTCAGTGACCTTGATTTTAACAGAATAACCTTGGCTCTTTGTCAAGACAAACCCTCAATGTGAAACAACTTTTAGAAATTCATAACCTTGACAGGAGTTTTACAACTTTTCTGTCATTGGCCCTAAATTTGCTAAAATGACCTTATTTTAAGTCATTTGAAAACCGGCGGACTATAAGCAATTTGTATCAAGTATGGACTTAAACAAATATAGTTAGAATGAAAAAAATACCGTTTTCTGAGTCATAATCGTAAAAAAATCCTTTTTGTCACAAGCAATCTCTGTATCAAGAATGAGCTTATAGATATTCTCGATTACATATAAATGATGCAACAAAACATGAATTCTTTCTCCAGTGACCTTGAATTTGCCATAATATTGCCTTGAAGATATAAATACATTGACACAACCTAGGATCACCTGAAATCTTTGTATCAAGTACAAGCTTCTGGTTTCTTTGTGTTATAGCCTGACCTTCTGGGAAAAACTTTAAGGGGCAGACAGACATATGGACAGTTAAACAGACCGTTTAATTCCCATTCCATCCACACTACCCCCCCAAAATACACAATCACTTTGCAAGGGAAAACTCTAGTCATGATTTGAAAAAAAAGTAATCTTTTTTATATCAGGAAGCTTTCGTAAATATGGTTTCTCATTCTTGCCCTGAAGTTTGTAAGAATAATACTTAAAAACGACCCCTTCTTACTTTTTACTAACCGTTTTCTTCATTGTTTTCATTTTATATCCCCAAGGTCACCCGCATAGCGCAGTGATTAGAGCGTATGTTCTATAGTATCGAAGTAAGGAGTTGATCCTTACGTCGTGGTTCGAATCCCACTGTGGGACGTGGGGACCTGTCCTTCCGATGAGACCGTATAAAACAAGGTCCTGTGTCGCTTTAGGTGCTGGCACAAAAAAAGATCCCTCCCTGCTCAAAGGCACTAAGTGCCGATTATAAAACAATTAATGTTTAACTATGGTGCCGGTTATGATTTTAATAGTTTAAATCAGGTCCTAAAAGTTACTGTGTAATTACATGATAAGTTTGTGATATTCAGTAGCTGTAGATTATACAAGTTCTTAAATTTTCGATTCTGTACATACGATGCAGGTTTATTTCATGTACTACTTACATGTACATTGTATAACCTACTACTGATATTTTTAAAATCACGGAACAAAATTAAAAGGTTAGCACACTATACCAATCATTTACAGGTTTTGAATAAATTATAAAACAAATAAAATTCTTTACTTTAAAATCTTGAATTATTTTTTTCAACTTGACTATTCAACGTGTAATATAAATAGGCATTGTGCAGCACAGAAGTCACTTACGAAGTTTAAACGAGCCGGAGATACTTGTCGATGTTTAGTCCATTTCATTAATGAGTAAAATTCTGAATAGATCCTTATGATTCGGAAGATTTTCTTTAAAATTTAAAACTGAAATAGCCATGGTAAAAATCTGTGATGAACAAAAAAAAAATGTGTTTGGGAAAATTTGTGTTGAAAACGGATTTATTTGTGTGTTAAAAGCGCTAATTAAGCTTGTGCATTTATATCAATATTGGTTGAAGTAAAGTAACCGCAGATTGCCAGTCCTTACGCTATAAATCCTCAAAACGAAAAGTAAAATTACACATGGAGCTAACGAACAATAAAAATTGAAGACTGATTAATGTACATGTAAAATAATTATACCCCAGCGTTTTGTTCTAAAGTCAAACCAAAGATATTTTAAAATATTTTTGAAAGATTCGATTTACTTACAGAAAATAATGTTTTCCGTAAGTTTGTAAAATAAGATTTAACATTCGACCACGCTGTGTAAATTAATGTCAACAAGCGACGGAAGGATTGGTTGGTCGTGTAATTGTAAACAAACACAAAACCAAGATAGCTGTTTTAGATAAAATATGTATCACGATCAAATTTAAAACGAAGATAAGCCAACATATTTAGCTCAAATATCCGACAATAATAATTTTCCATTAATTGTAAAATGGTTTTAATACACCAATTATTTTGCCTATGACTGCGGGGTCAATGGTTCGCCGTGGCGTGTCGCTTAAGATTTTCTTGGATGTGTGTAATCGTAAGATTACGCAGCAATGGTCAACACACTTTAAATCTGGGTTCCAGGTGAATGTCAGAATTGCGCAGTAAATAACTTTTGTATTATTTGACTCTTTAAAAGTTCTTTTTATGAGATCCGGGCGTGTATCGTTTTCGTTCATATTGTTTGTGTTCATATTTTAACGAAGAAAAGCTTTTTTCTAAAACCCTTTCTCTTGGAAACATCTTGCTTAATAAAAGGAAAATGATGCCATTGAATACTCTGAACGGGAACCAAAGAACACGTTTAAAACCTAATTAAAAAAAAAAGAGATGTGATACAGCATTGTAAAATATTTATTACTTACGGCAAGTTTACTTAAATTCTGCGCATAAAGACTACAGAGTTTTCCTTCAATAGCAAGATGAGACCTTCAATAGCAAGATGAGAACTGCCTAGCTTTCTTTCCTATATAACGTAAGACTCGAACAAAATAATATTTTTATAGGACAGAGATAGTATTAATGTACAATTTTAAATATTAAAAGAATGAATTTAACCATTCTGTGTTTTTATTTGTGTATAACTGTGGGTCGCTTGATTACCCGCCGATTGATTCCCGGTGACCGACTTTGCCCCGC